GCTACCGCGCCCGGCCTCCAGGATAATTTCAAGCAGAGGGTCCGTATACCCAGCATGGCATCCCTAAGCATTGAGAACCTGGTCCCCGAGGACAGTGGGCAGTACCAGGCTCAGGTCAGCTTACCTGAAGAGAGAGTGCTTACCCAGGCTTCACTTCTCACCATTTTTGGAAAGTGGCAGCCCATGCTATCATCATCTTGACACACCTCCTACTCTACCCTCCCCAGTTCAGACACGGACTAGGCCTTGCAGGGCTGAGCACACCTCAGCTGGCTTCCTCTACTGCTGTTGCCCCCTCTTTTCCTTCTGCATTGCAGCATGATGAGCTCAGGCCAACCCTCTCTCTCTCCAACTCTCTGTCTCTCTCACACACACACACACACACGCACACACACACGCACGCGTGCACACAGATACGCACACGCACACGTGCACGCGCGCACACACACACACACACACACTCTTTGACTTGCTGCAGCATCCTGTTTTCCTATTTTGCCTGCCAGAAGCTGAACATTTCTGTTCTTTCCATTTCTTCTATATCAAGTCCTAATCTCCCCAAGGCGCAAGTTTGGCTCAAGCCTATTAGGTAAAGACCATGTATTCAATACATTCAGAAAAGTCAAAAAGAACAAACCATCAATAATTTAAAAAATATTACTCCATTGATGTGTAAAAAGAAATATCACTTAAACATTTAAAATAACTCAACCTTTAAAAGTACAATAAAAAAAGAGAGAGAGCAAAATAAAAAAAATCACTCAGTAACCTAACCTAGCACAGAGCTGTTCAATAGCATTTTCAGCCGGGTGCGGTGGCTCACATCTGTAATCCCAGCACTTTGGGAGGCCGAGGCGGGTGGATCATGAGGTCAAGAGATCGAGACCATCCTGGTCAACATGGTGAAACCCCGTCTCTACTAAAAATACAAAAAATTAGCTGGGCATGGTGGCGCGTGCCTGTAATCCCAGCTACTCAGGAGGCTGAGGCAGGGGAATTGCATGAACCCAGGAGGCGGAGGTTGCCGTGAGCCGAGATCGCGCCATTGCACTCCAGCCTGGGTAACAAGAGCGAAACTCCGTCTCAAAAAAAAAAATAGCATTTTCAATAGTGATAGAAATGTTCTACATCTGTGCTGCACCGGTACAGTAGCCACCAGCCATCTATATATTTAAAATGGGACCAACAGAATGAGAAACTGAATGTTTAATTTTAGTTTATTTAAAATTAGCCATTCTTTCATTCTATACCTAATACATTCAATTCAATGTAGTTAATGTCTTTGAGACCCCATTCCTCATCTTAAGAACAAACCTCATAGCTCAGGACCTTCCTACATGGGAGACAAGATACGGAGCTACACAAATAAGAGAACAGTGGTCAAACCTGTAAGTCTCCCTTGGAACCCACAAGTAAACTGCAGAAGCTAGAAGGTATGTGCCGCACTCCAACAACATGAACAGCTCCACTTCGGGTAAGAGGGGATGTGATGGGAGTGCACAGCTTCGCCTCTTCCTAGGTCGGTACGTAAACTGCGGTCATGTGGCAAACTTTTACATTTTTCTTTTGTTTTCTTCTTCCTTTTAACTGTTTTCATAGCAATTTCTTCCAATAGGAAATTGTAATTTTTCTGTGGTCGTATCTATTGAACCCTTGTCTTTATTATTTCTGGCTTTGGAGATGAGCTTAAAAAACTATTTTCCACTCATGACTATGAAAATATTAATCAATTACTTTCATCATATTTATTCTTTTCTTTTTTAGAATAAATATTATACATACTTATTCTAATTTTTCTAATCAGTGATGTGGTCAAAACACTCACGTGTTCTCACAGAAATTTTCTTTCTTTCATTTTTTCTTTCTCTTTCATTTTCTTCTTCTTCTTCTTCTTCTTCTTCATCTTCTTCTTCTTCCTCCTCCTCCTCCTCCTTCCTCTTGTGATTATACCGAGCCCACCCAGATAGTCCAGGATAATTTGCATCTCAAGACCCTTGCACTTGATGACACCTGCAAAGTCCCTTTTCTGTAAGGCTATACTGGCATAGGGCCCAGGAATCAGTGCACAGCCACAATCTCAGAAAGAAAATGAGAGTGGAAAATGAAGACAGATCATCTTGGTCTAAACCCAGGGATATTCTAGAAAACAGAGATTAGAGACATAAGAAAGAAACTAATAAAGGAAACTAAGGAGAGAGAAAAGAATGGTGCGGGGTGATTGGAGGTGCAGACAGTTCCAAGGAAGGATATATTCATTGCTGCTGACACATCAAGGAAAATGAGGACTGATCGTTGACCATTGGCTTTAGCAACATGGACTCTCCCGCTGATCTGGACCTGAGCAGTTTTAATGGAGAAGTGGAGGCAATGCATGACAGGAAGAATTCAAGACGGAAAAGACTTTTCCAAAAAAAGGCATACCAATGGTTAATGTGCAACGTGCAAAGATGTTCAATGATATGAGTCATTTGGGAAATGGAAATCAAAAGCACAATGAGTTACCACTTCACACACACTCAGAAGGCAATAATCAAAGAAATGGACAATAACAAGACTTGGGAAGGATGTGGAGACGTCCTCCCACATTGCTGGTGGGGTGTAAAAATGATGAAGGTGAAGGTGAAAAGATGGAAATGAAATAGCGAGAGGAAGGTGGACTACAAGAAGCTTCTGACAGATAACCCAAGGGAACAAACTGACTGACAAAGGACCGAAATGAGTGATAAGGAGTCAAAAATGAGCGAAATTATGCTTCTCTGAGGATGCAAACCGTATCTCCACTACTTACACTCAGGAGAACATGCAGGAAGTAGTTAGCTTCTCTGGGTTTCAGCTTTCTCATGTGTACAGTGCAGACATATGCCTCACAGAATTGTAGAACTCGGAATGAGAGACTTAGGCAAAGCCTACTGAATGACACTATGAATAATATCATCAGTGGAAGGTGATTTGAGGATGTAATGCTGTATCCCTCACATGGACATGAGGGAGCTTGAATAAAGATCAAGGAATAAAATTTCTCTTCTCTGAATGCCTTGTCTACATTTGATGGCACTGTACCTTATTCCATGTCTCCCACCCAATCAGGGTCCTACTGCCCCTTAAGGGGTAATTTCTTTTTCAATCATTAGTTGTTCCAGCACCAAGGATCCCAGCCTGAGTTGAGGCTCGTGAGTTGGAGGCCAATATCCTTGGGAGATTGACAACAGGAGGATACTCCCATCTGAATACTCCAGGATTCCAAGGGTGTCTTAGTCTATTGGCTACTATAACAAAATACTTTAGATGCATAAATCACTTGGCAATTTATATATAATAGAAATTTATTTCTCACAGTCTTGAGGCTGAGAAGTCTAATATCAAGGTGCCGGCAGATTCGGCATCCGGTAAGGCAGATTCAGTGTCTCTTCAGCTCAGTTTCAGCTCCATAGTCGGATCTTACCGTGGCATCATCACATGGCAGAGGGGGAACACTGTGCACTCCGTGGAGAAAGGGGAGAACACCAAGTCCTCATATGATGGAAGGTGGGGACACAGGGCCCTTACGTGGTGGAAGTGGGAACCAGGGAACACCGTGTCCTCACATTATGAAAGCGGGCAACACCGTGTCCGCACATGATGGAAGGCAGGAGCGCCATGTCCTCACATGGTGGAAGGGGCAACACTCTGTCCTCACATGGTGGAAGGGGCAACACTCTGTCCTCACATGGTGGAAGGGGCAACACTCTGTCCTCACATGGTGGAAGGGGCAACACTCTGTCCTCACATGGTGGAAGGAGAGACACTCTGTCCTCACATGGTGGAAGGGGCAACACTCTGTCCTCACATGGTGGAAGGGGCAACACTCTGTCCTCACATGATGGAAGGGGCAACACTGTCCTCACATGATGAAAGGGGCAACACTCTGTCCTCACATGGTGGAAGGGGCAACACTCTGTCCTCACATGGTGGAAGGGGCAACACTCTGTCCTCACATGGTGGAAGGGGCAACACTCTGTCCTCACATGGTGGAAGGGGCAACACTCTGTCCTCATATGATGGAAGGGGCAACACTCTGTCCTCACATGGTGGAAGGGGAAACACTCTGTCCTCACATGGTGGAAGGGGCAACACTGTCCTCACATGATGGAAGGGGCAACACTCTGTCCTCACATGGTGGAAGGGGCAACACTCTGTCCTCACATGGTGGAAGGGGCAACACTCTGTCCTCATATGATGGAAGGGGCAACACTCTGTCCTCACATGGTGGAAGGGGAAACACTCTGTCCTCACATGGTGGAAGGGGCAACACTGTCCTCACATGATGGAAGGGGCAACACTCTGTCCTCACATGGTGGAAGGGGCAACACTGTCCTCACATGATGGAAGGGGCGACACTCTGTCCTCACAAGATGGAAGGAGAGACACCATGTTCTCATATGGTGGCAGTGGGGAACATCGGGTCCTCATAGGGTGGAAGGTGGTAAGACTACGTCCTCCCATGGTAAAAGGCAGGAGCACCATGTCCTCACATGGTGGAAGGGGGAAACACAATGTCTTTGCATGATCAAAGGTGGGAACACTGTGCCCTCACGTAGTGGAAGTGACAGAAGGGCAAAAGGGGTGACGCTGTCCTCAAACCATTTTATAAAAGTACTAGCCCCATTCATGGCCCCTAATCACCTCCTACATGCCCACTCTCCTTCATGCTTCTGTATTGGGGATTAGGTTCCAACAAGAAACATCCAAACCAGAGCAAGGGTCTTCAGTCACCCTCGTCATGAGGGGAAGAGTTAGGAGCTCTGGAATCAGCCAGGGGTGGATCTCAGGCTTTGCTTTGCCACCAACTAGTTATGAATGCTGTTGGTCAATATCAACTCTAGCAGGTTCTTAGAATTAGAAGGATAATATGAGTGAAATGTGTATAACGTCATGTTTTAAACGAGAAGAAAATATAAAAACATTTACTGGATCCTTGGAATGCAGAGGACTTTTAAGTTTGATATCATTGGAAGAAATCATAAGAAGAGCAAAACATTTAGCATTTTAAAATTAAAAATGTATTTAAAAATAATTAAAAAGAATAATATTTGCAAAGTGCCTGGGACAAAAACTGGTTCAAAACAGCCTGAAAAGCCTTGTTCTTCTTTTGTGTTTGTTTGTTTGTGCCTTCGATGAGGTGGGAAGGTCTGTTGGATGATCACATCTTCCGCTGCCCCAGGGCTAACGTGCACTGATACCTCGTCAAGTCCAGCCACCTGGGAAGCCAGTGAGGAGACTGGCACTGTCAGCTTTACGCTCAGCCTAAACTGGAAGATGGCAAAAATGAAGCCCTACTATGGCTCCTCTCCCTCCTGCCTCACTCGTCCACCGTCCGGCAGGCACCTAGCATTATGTCCTAGTGCTCAATCTCTTAGCAGGGACTCTGTTCAGATCTTTGTTTTCTGTGGGTGGCAATGAGGAAATGAGTTCACCTGAGCCGTGGGGGAAACTAAGAGACCCAAGGATCTAGGCCACCAGACGTGCCACAGCACCTTGTGGCGCTAGAGTTAGCCTAGCTCTGCATAAAAGCCGGGACTCAAACAGGAGGCAGAGGCTGCAAGAAGCTGAAGACCCCTCAGGAGGGAAGAAACACTCACATACTGTGGTGGAAGCATGGCCGGGTTCACAATAAGTGGTGGATAAGGGAGTAAGGAAGTCTCCAATTAGGACCTCAGGCTGAGTATAGTCAAGGAGGTCATTGTGTCCATCCGTTTCCAGGTAGAGCCACGCCAGAGAGTCTGTCAGCAGCTCTTGTGCTGCATCTCCCTCTGCTGACCCCATGGGATGGGAAAAGGTTGGCCCAGACCCTTTGCTCCAAGAAGTGCTTGTCTCCTCAGCCCTCTTCTCCCACAGCCCCACATCCTCCTGAGAGAGCCCAGGTTAGCCCTGCAGGAAGACTCATGATCATCCCAGGACAAACTGTGGCAGGGATCCTACATAGTGTCCAAGGTGTTCAGAAAAGTCAGATGTGGGAAGAGATCATGTTTAAACCTTTGAGATCCAGAGTTCCATGGAACAAGCATCTTGGGAAGGGCTTTGAGTAGCACAGTGGATTTCAGCAGGTGGGAGTGAGGGTGAGAAACAGGGAGAGGGAAATTTCATTTCGGGCAGAGGGATGCAAGTTAGCAAAGAAGTGGATGACCTAGGGTTTGGGGCCAGCATAGCTACTGGGGCACGGAGGGTCAGAATAAGAAGAGGCTGGAGAGGGCTGGGTCAGACCTTCTCAACAGCTTCACCCATCAGAGCCCAAGTAGTCCTCTCCAAGGGGGCGTGGAAGAATACCACAGCTCTGTTCTTATAGCTAAGTGCTCTATCCTAGGCAAAGGAAAGAGCTGAAGCTGTTTTCCTAAGACAACCCCAAACTGTGGCCTGTTAGGGTCATTCTCTGAGACACAGAGGCTAGGAAGCTTTTGAGATAACACAAATTTCTCTTTCTACTCTATAGGAAGTTGAGTTTGGATCCACAGGCTAAGACTGAAGATTAGGTTCAGATTAGCACAGGAGAAAAGAAAGGTGGCTTTAGTTCAGTTGTATCATATGTACTAGACACCTGCCCCAACATTCATGTACACACACACTGCCTGATGCCCCCAAGGGAGCCCTATATAAAATCTGCAGAGAAAGCCTCAGCCTGTTCCTTTGTGGGCTCCTACCCACCCATGCTGTCCTCCAACTCAGCATCCAGAAGCCAAGTCCTACCTCCCTCCTCTCTGCACCGTTCCCACGCCTGGGCTTGTGTCCTCAGAAGTACACACACCAGTGACACGGCAGAGGTGGCTGGGATTTTCCACCTGCTCAGTCAGACAGGGCCCCCTTGGGAAGGTTCTTGGAGGAGAGGGGTCAGGAACCATGTCAATGATAGGGAAAGAATCTTTGCCCAACTGTGAGTGCATCTTGGGGAGGTGTCTCAGAATGTGAACAGGTCATGGGTACACTGTAGAACTATGGCTGTGAGATCAGCGTACAGACAAGGGGCAGCTCAAACTGGACCAGCACTAAGAAAGGCAGAGGTGTGCAGGCTTCAGGCTCAGAGTGTAGGTGTCCTGGGAGTGCCAGATCCTTTTGCTTCCTCCATTCGAATGATCTTAATGGCCGTGCCTGGACAGTGATAATGAACCTCACTGTAGACAGCAGTGAGCGGCTCCTCTTTTTCCAGATATTGTTCACCAATGCCCTGGAATACAAGACAGAGGGTGGTCAGATCAGCTGAGGGATAGAATGAATCTGCAGGCACCCACAGAGCCAGTACCCACTGCCGTGCACTGCTTAAGAATTCCTCTAAAGTGTAAATTTTCTTAGTAAATGCTGGTGATTGTCCAGACATAGATAAATAGGCGGTGGGGTCAGAAATGGCAGGTCCTGGAATTGGAAGCCCAAGGCTGGGCAGAGAGACCTGGGAGTTTCCAGGGTGGCCCTTGCCCTGGCACTCACCTTGTCCTTGTCCTTCTGAGACACTGGCAGCCTGAGATCTTCATAGTGGTTGGCATCATCATCCACCCCATGGTTCTCCTGCAGTTCTCCACCTGAGGAAATCAAAGCTTGAATCTGTGTCTTAGAAACCTGTATCTCTCCCCGCTGCCTTGAACCCCGAGGCCAAAAACACGCCCATCATCCCTCTGCAGAGTCCACTCCCGGGGAGAAAAATTCAGGAGAAAGGAAGCTGAGGTTCTAGTGAGGGAGGGGAGGTGTCTGGATGTGGAAGGAGAAATGCAACTTGCCTCTTCTTATCTTCATCTTCTTTTTCTTCTTACATGTCTTCAAAAGATACAGCCCAGTTCCCAGGACCAACATCACACCCACAACATCCCCTAGGAGGCCTGGCAGCAGTCTAACCGTGTCCTGTTTGTGTGGATCTGTTTCTGTCACATGGGGAGAGTAGAAAACATTAAGGCAGGACATAACTTGACACACCCATTGCCAAGACGAAACAGGGAGAAAGCAGGGGGAGAAGTGGAAAGGGGCCTGGTGCAGAAGCCGCAGAGGGAGGAGCTTGGCAGGTCTATTCATTCAACCGGTTAGGAGCTGCTGCTTGATGCCAGGGATGCTGAGATGCACAACACGATGTCCACAGCAGCCCAGGACACAGGAGGGAAGACGAAAAATGCCAACTGCCAGACAGAGGGATCAGGGCTGCAATAGAGGTTTCCACCTTGTACAAGGTCTTCAGGGAGAGCCTCCCAGAGGAGGTGCTGGCTAAACCGAGGTTTGAGGGGGAAGCATGAGATTATCAGATATTTAGGGTGGGGCATTCCAGGAAATAGGAGCACCAAGGTCAGGAAATGGGTGTCAAGACACCAGCGCTGGGAGTTACTGGCACCCCACGGCAGCAGAAGAGGGTCAGGGCAGGGAGAAGCTGTGGCAAGGAGAGTCAGAGGGAGGCAGAAGTCAGTGCCCAGAGGGCCTTGTGGTCATGCTAAATGCTGAACACTCCAGGATGGGGGTGAGTGGAGGAGGTGGCAGCTCATTTAAAGTGATGCTGACACATCAGATCCCCCAGCAGCTCCTGGAGGAAGGATTGGAGGGGACAGGCTGCACATAGGGTATCAGGTCATTTATTCGTTCAGTGAACACTGAATGTGAGCAGACATTGGTAGGAGCTGTGCTTGGCACAGGGATCAAAGCAAAACATCAAGGTGTTGCAGTCGACAGGGCAGCACATTATACTGCTCAGTGTGGGGTGCCATGGACAGCTCCCTCAGGAGGTGGGCCTGAGGGCAGAACCAGATACATCATTTTCAGGGCACTGTGCAATGCAAATTCAAATTCCCTTGATTAAAACCTAAAACCTTCAAGGAAGAAATGGCAGAGTTTTAACCAATTGTGGAATCCTGTGAAGTGTGGGACCCTGTGTGACGGCATCTGTCTTGTGCCCATGAAGCCGGTCATAGCTTAGAGGAATACTTGGAAAGGAATAAAAGAGGAAGTGCCGGCCATTGGGTGTGGGAGGGCTGATGATCAGAAGCCCAGAAGCTTACAAAAAGCAGGACATATTTGGGGAAATAAAAGCAAGCAGTTTGGTGGGAAGTGTATAGGTGAGGCCAGACACATGGGCAGAGGAGCATCTGAGCTCTGAATTCCATGGGGGAGTAACTGGAGGCCAGATCCCACAGATGACACAGAAAACAACCTAATTTGACCCACTTTCCCCAAAGCCCACTCTGGATATTCGGTGGAGGATGGATGGGGTGGGAGAGCTCCCGGAAGGCTGCTGTCTGCATCGGCAGGAGCATGGTGGGGGTGCAGCGAGGAAGATATGGATCGGAGGGATGTTTACAAGTAGAACTAAGGTGGATGTGACTCCCACACTGCTGTGTGTGGTGAGCAGGTGGAAGGCGGTGCTAACGCACATGGCGGAGAAGGGAGCCCAGAACCCTCAGACCCTAGTGCTAGCTGAGCTCGGCAGCTCCTTTTATCCTGCAGGCCACACTCACCACTCACCTTGGACACACACTTCCCTAAGATCTAAGATTGCAGCTTTCTTATCCACCTGGTTGCTGACCACACAGGTGAGGTGGGTGTTGCACTGGCACAGGGGCAGGCTCACAGCCAGGGTCCAGGGGTTCAGGGCGGGTCTTGGTGTTTCTCTCTGCTCCAGCTCTCTGAGGAGGCCCTTGCTCTCCCAGGTCACTTTCAGGTCCTCGGTGGCCCCTGGAGCTCTGCACTGCAGGGTTATGTTACACAAGCCTGGTGTGATAGAGAGTAACTTGGCCAGGATTCCAGGATGAGGCACAGGCTCTGGAGAAGAAGGAGACAGATGAGTGGAATCTCACATGTATGGAATGCTAACAGCCACTAGCAGGTGAAAAAAGGTAAAATAACAAGTTCCCTTCTGGAGTTCCCAGAAAGGACACAGCCCTGCCACCACCTTCATTTTAGCTCACGGAGACTGTGTCAGACCTCTGGCCTACAGCACAGTGAGATAATAAATTTTTCTTGCTTTCAGCCAAAAATTTTTGGCAATTCGTTACATCAGTGATAAAAAACTATACAAATTAAGTAACATTAATCATATATAGGACCATTAATGTTACTGGAAAAATTGCTATTTTCCCAAATTTCCATTTCCCCTCCCAAAACACTGAAACAGTTTCATTCCCTGGTGTGAATCTTAGCTCTGCTATCTCTGGGGACCTCGTGTGCCTTATTTTTGGTGGAGAAAATCGACTCTGAAGGCTGGTGTCTGAATGGAACCTTGCATGGGGCCTACGTGACACTCTAGGGACAAAAAACCCAGAGAAGCCAGAGGATGAGGGAGGGGTGTCACTCACCATAGACAGTGAGGTAGAAAACCTGGGCATATGTTCTTCCCTGAGTTGAGTGGATCATGGCCACGTACTGCCCACTGTCTTCAGGGGCCAGGTTCTCAATCCTCAGAGACCACATGCTGGGCACATGGACCCTCTGCTTGAACTTGTCCTGGAGGCTCAACCAGGTTGGAGAGTCGGCTCCCCTGTGGATTTCCAGCACCTGTGTGTGATTTATTGCAGTGCCTAAACCCCATGAAACCTCCTGCAGCTCGGCTCCTACAACTACTCTGAGCTTCTCGATCACATTAAACAAGACAGAACCACCTCGGATCCCCTTCAGATGAGTGGGTTTTCTAGAATCATCCAAGACAGAGCCATGTGCTTCAGAAATGTAGGCTTCAGTGCTGCAGACACCTAGGGCATGGAAACAGGAAACGTGAGTATTTGCTCATCAGGAACAAATGAGAGAAACACAGAACTTTGGTTCAGAGTCACAGAAATCCATCCAAATCTTCCCTTGATTCTGGGAGGGCTGCCTAGTATAATGGATTTGAAGCAATTCTGGAATCAAGTTCTGGTTCTAGTGGAGAGCGATATTGAACAGATTCCCGAACCCCCCTGATCTTCAGTTTTCTTACCTGCCCCATCATGACAGTAAGGATCAAATGAGATCCTAGATCAAAAGCACCTGGCACATTTTCTGACATATGCTAAGTGCATAACTGCAGGATGCAGCTTCTAATGTGGCTCCCAAGGACGCCTCCCCACTGTGTGCACAGCCCTGTGGAATGCCCTCCCCTGGAGTATGGGCGGCACTGATTACTTGCAAATGCAGCAAAAGTGATGGAGTGTCCCTTCTGTCTGGCTCACACCCTCTGTCTCCATCACTCTCTCCTGCTCAGGCTGATGAAGTCAGCTACCACGTTGTGAGCTGCTCTGTGGAGAGGCCCACATAGCAGGGAGCTGGGGACAGCCTCAGTCAATACCTTCATTCCAGTCTTTGTGTACCTAAGCCACAGGACCTAGCTGAACCACACGTGGATTCTGATCTCCATAAACTGTGAGGCAAGACCCCTTATTGTGTTAAGGCCCTGAGTTCTAGGGTAACAGCTCACACAACAATACATAACTAAGGCAAAGATGAAGGTTGCTTTCCTTTGCCTTTTCTTCTAGGAGGGGAACGAGTCAGGATAGGATAGGGGCTGGATAGGATGGGAAGTGAATTAGACAGGTTGTCTTGTGGCAACAAACAATTACGAAAGTCAGAGCCTAAGAACAAGAGAAGTTTGTATATTACTCACACTACATGTCCCACAAGAGATAGTGAAGGACGGGTCATGTCACTCATGGGTGAGGGCTCCACACCTTGTAGAAGCTCCATATGGAACCCACAGCCTCCTCACAGCCTCCTCAGCCCCCACGGTAGGGAAAGGAGGAAACAAGAGAGGCACCCATGGGCGTTCACTGCACTGCAGAAGTGGTGTAATCTCTGCCCATATTTTCTGGACAGAACTAGTCAGGAGACCCTGCTAACTGCCAGGGGCTGAAAGTGTGGGGGAGCAGATGGACTGTTTGGTGGCACTGTGTCCCTGCCACCAAGAAAGCACCTCCCTATGCAATGCCCATGAGGTCCCTGATTAGTCTCTCTCAGTTGCTGTCTCCCACGGAGCCCTGACCAGTGGGCGCAGCTGCCTCAGCTCCGCCCCCCTCTGAGCCCTTTATTGCCCACCAGAAACAACCACAATGAACCCAGAGACTTCTGTACTTCCTGGGGACGAGGGTGGGACCAATCTGGACCAGGTCCATCTGGGTTTGTTGCTGGGTGGCAGGGTACCCAGTGTTCTCTCTAATGAGTAAATTCCTCCCCATTTCAAGCCTGCACCATTCTGCTGTCCTTAAACCCATCCCTGGCTCTCACTGAGAGCAAGTAGCTCATGCCAATCCTTAGATATGGAAGCGTTTCAAATATTTGTTTCCAGTTATACACTAGCTTAGTTCACCAGCCCCTCCTTTGGGCTAGGCCTCACCCCTCCCTTCAGCTCTCTCCAGGGACTAGGCCCCACCCGAGGCTCAGCACCCCTTAGCACCAGAGCCACAGGCCCTTAGGATCCACATTAGCGGGTTAATGGGTTTGTCACTCCATTTTTGCATTGCTATAAGGAAATACCTAACACTAGGTAATTTATAAAGAAAAGATATCTAATTGGCTCACAGTTCTGCAGGCTGTACAGAAGTGTAGAGCCAGCATCTTCTCCTGGTGGGAGCCTCAGGAAGCTCACAGTCATGTGGAAGGCAAAGGAGAGCCAGCATATTACATGGTCAGAGCAAGAGCAAGAGAGACAGGGAGGAAGATGGCTGAATAGGAACAGCTCTGGTCTGCAGCTCCCAGTGAGATCAATGCAGAAGGCGGGTGATTTCTGCATTTCTAACTGAGGCACCCAGCTCATCTCACTGAGAGTGGTTAGACAATGATTGCAGCCCATGGAGGGTGATCTGCAAGCACAAGGGTTCAGGGAACTCCCTCCCCTAGCCAAGGGAAGCCATGAGGGACCCTGCTATGCAGGATGGTGTTTCCGGCCCGGATACTATGCTTTTCCCATCATTGTCACAACCTGCAGACCAGGAGATTCCCTCGGGTTCCTATGCCACCAGAGCCCTGGGTTTCAAGCACAAAACTGGGCACCCATTTGGTCATATTTTTTCATATCCCAGCTGCAGGAGTTTTTTTTTTTTTTATATCCCAGTGGCACCTGGAACAGCAGCAAGACAGAATGGTTCACTCCCTTAGAAAGGGGACTAAAGCCAGGGAGCCAAGTGGCCTAGCTCGGAGGATCCCACCTCCACAGAGCCCAGCAAGCTAAGATCCACTGGCTTGAGATTCTTGCTGCCAGCACAGCAATCTGAAGTCGACCTGGGACACTCAAGCTTGGTGTGGGGAGGGGTGTCTGCCATGACTGAGGCTTGAGCAGATGTTTTTTCCCCAAAGCCACTGGAAAGTTCAAGCTAGGCATATCCCACTGTAGCTTGACAAAGCTGCTATAGCCAGACTGCCTCTCTAGATTCCTCCTCTTTGGGCTGGGCATCTCTGAAAGAAAGACAGCAGCTCCAGTCAGAGGCTTTTAGATAAAATGCCCATCTCCCTGGGGCACAGCACCTGAAGAAATGGGCAGCTGTGGGCGCAGCTTGAGCAGACTTAAATGTTCCTGCCTGCCACCTCTGAGGAGAGCAGTGGATCTCCCAGCACAGTGCTTGAGCTCTGCCAAAGGACAGATGGTCTCTTCAAGTTGGTCCCTGACCACCATGCCTCCTGACTGGGAGACACCTCGCAGCAGGGGTTGACAGACACCTCATACAGGAGAGCTCCAGCTGGCATCTGGTGGGTGCCCTTCTGAGATGAAGCTTACAGAGGAAGGAACAGGAAGCAATATTTGCTGTTACTGTTCTGCAACCTCTGTTGGTGAGTCACAGGCAAAGAGAATCTGGAACCTCCATTGGTGATACCCAGGCAAAGAGAGTATCCAGCAAACTCCATCAGACCTGCAGCAGAGGGGCCTGACTGTTAGAAGAAAAAACTAACAAACAGAAAACGATAGCATCAACCTCAACAAAAAGGACATCCATACAGAATCCCCACCTGAAAGTCACCAACATCAAAGACGAAAGGTAGATAAATCCACAAAAATTAAAAAAAATGTCTGAAAATTCCAAGAACCAGAATGCCTCTTCTCCTCCAAGTGATTGTAACTCCTCACCAGCAAGAGAACAAAACTGGAAGGAAATGAGTTTGACAAATTGACAGAAGTGGGCTTCAGAAGGTGGGTAATAATAAATTCCTCCAAGCTAAAGGAGCATGTTCTAACCCAATGCATGGAAGCTAAGAACCTGGAGAAAAGGTTAGAGGAATTGCTGACTAGAATAGCATTTAGAGAAGAATATAATGACCTGATGGAGCTGCAAAACACAGCATGAGAACTTCATGAAGCATTCGTAAGTATAAATGGCTGAATTGATCAAGCAGAAGAAAGGATACTAGAGACTGAAGATCAACTTAATGAAATGAAGCATGAAGACAATATTAGATAAAAAGAGTGAAAAGGAATGAACATAGCCTCCAAGTAATATAGGTCTATGTGAAAAGACCAAACCTGTGTTTGATCAGTGTACCTGAAAGTGACGGGGAGAATGGAACCAAGTTGGAAAACACTCTTCAGGGTATTATGCAGAAGAATTTCCCCAACCAAGCAAGACAGGCCAACATTCAAATTCAGGAAATACAGAGAACACCATAAAAATACTCCTTGAGAAGAACAACCTCAAGACACATAATCATCAGATTCACCAAGGTTGAAATGAAGGAAAAAATGTTAAGGGCAGCTAAAGAGGAAGGTTGGGTTACCCACAAAGGGAAGCCCATCAGACTAATAGTGGATCTCTCTGCAGAAACCCTACAAGTCAGAAGAGAGTGGGGGCCAATATTTAACATTATTAAAGGAAAGAGTTTTCAACCCAGAATTGCATATCCTGCCAAACTAAGCTTCAAAAGTGAAAGAAAAATAAAATCCTTTACAGACAAGCAAAAGCTGAGAGATTTTGTCACCACCCAGCCTGCCTTAAAAGAGCTCCTGAAGGAAACACTAAATAGGGAAAGGAACAACTAGTACCAGTCACTCCAAAAACATACCAAACTGTAAAGACCATCAACATTGTGAAGAAACTGCACCAACTAATGGGCAAAACAACCAGCTGGCATCATAATGGCAGGATCAAATTAACACATAACAATATTAACCTTAAATGTAAATGGGATAAATGGCCCAATTAAAAGACATAGACTGGCAAATTGGATAAAGAGTCAAGACCCATTGGTGTGCTGTATTCAGAGACACATCTCATGTGCAAAGACACACATAGGCTCAAAGTAAAAGGATGGAGGAAGATTTACCAAGCAAATGGAAAGAAAAAAAAAAGGAAGGGTTGCAATCCTAGTCTCTGATAAAACACACTTTAAACCAATGAAGATCAAAAGAGACTAAGAAGGGCATTACTTAGTGGTAACAAGATCAATGCAACAAGAAGAGCTAACTATCCTAAATCTATATGCACCCAATACAAGAACATCCAGATTCATAAAGCAACTTCTTAGAGACCTACAAAGAGACTTAGACTCCCACACAATTATAGTGGGAGACTATAACACCCCACTGTCATTATTAGACAGATCAATGATACAGAAAATTAACAAGAATATTCAGGATTTGAACTCAGCTCTGGACCAAGCAGCCCTGACAGACATCTACAGAGCTCTCCACCCCAAATCAACAGAATATACATTCTTCTCATTACCACATCAAACTTATTCTAAAATCGACAACATAATTGGAAATAAAACCCTCCCCAGCAAATGCAAAAGAATGGAAATCGAAACAGTCTCTCAGATCACAGTTCAATCAAATTAGAACTCAGGATTAAGAAACTCACTCAAAACTGCACAACTACATGGAAAATGAACAACCTGCTCCTGAATGACTACTGGATAAAGAACAAAATTAAGGCAGAAATAAATACGTCCTTTGAAACCAATGAGAACAAAGACACAATGTACCAGAAACTCTGGGACACGGCTAAAGCAGTGTTCAGAGGGAAATTTATAGCAGTAAATGCCCACAGGAGAGAGCAGAAAAGATCTAAAATCAACACCCTAACATCACAGTTAAAAGAACTAGAGAAACAAGAGCAAACAAATTCAAAAGTTAGTGGAAGACAAGAAATAACTAACATCAAAGCAGAACCGAAGGAGACAGATATGCAAAAAAGAAACCTTCAAAAAAATCAGTGAATACAGGAGGCGGTTCTTTCAAAAGGTTAACAAAATAGACGACTAACCAGACTAACAAAGAATAAAAGAAAAAAGAATCAAATACACACAATAAAAATGATAAAGAGGATATCACCTCTGAGCCCATAGAAGTACACACTGCCATCAGAGAATACTATAAACACCTCTATGCAAATAAACTGGAAAATCTAGAATAAATAGATACATTCCTGGACACGTACACCCTCCCAAGACTAAATCAGTAAGAAGTCGAATCCCAGAATAGACCAATAACAAGATCTGAAATGGAGGCAGTAATTAATAGCCTACCAACCAAAATAATAATAATAATTAATAATAATAATGAAAAGCCCAGGATCAGACAGATTCACAGCCGAATTCTACAGATGTACAAAGAGGAGTTGGTATCATTCTTTCTGAAACTATTCCAAATAATAGAAAAAGAAGGACTCCTCCCTAACTCATTTTATGAGGCCAGCATCATTCTGATACCAAAACTTGGCAGAGACATAACAAAAATAAAATAAAATTTTAGGCCAATATCCCTGATGAACATCAATGAGAAAATCCTGAATAAAATCTTGGCAAACCAAATCCAGCAACACATCCAAAAGCTTATCCACCACAATCAAGTCAGCTTCATCCCTGGGAGACAAGGGTGGTTGAACATATGCAAATCAATAAATGTAATCTATCACACAAACAGAACCAATGACAAAAAACACACAGTTATCTCAATAGATGCAGAAAAGGCCTTCAATAAAATTCAACACTCCTTCGTGCTAATAACTCTCAATAAACTAGGTATTGATGGAACGTATTTTGAAATAATAAGAGCTATTTATGACAAACCCACAGCTAATATCATACTGAATTAGCATAAACTGGAAGCATTCCCTTTGAAAATCAGCACAAGACAAAAATGTCCTCTCTCACCATACCATTTCAAGATAGTATTGGAAGTTCTGGCCAGGGCAATCAGGCAAAAAAAGAAATAAAGCGTATTCAAATAGGAAGAGAGGAAGTTAAATAGTCTCTGCAGATGACATGATTGTATATTTAGGAAACCCCATTGTCTCAGCCCAAAAATCTTTAAGCTGATAAACTTCAGCAAAGTCTCAGGATACATAGTTAATGTGCAAAAATCACAAGCATTCCTATACACCAGTAATAGACAAACAGAGAGCCAAATCATGAGTGAACTCCCATTCACAACTGCTATAAAGAGAATAAAATACTTAGGAATACAACTCACAAGGTATATGAAGGACCTCTTCAAGGAGAACTACAAACCACTGCTCAAAGAAGTAAGAGACGACACAAACAAATAGAAAAACATGCCATGCTCATGGATAGAAAGAATCAATGTTGTGAAAATGGCCATACTGCCCAAAGTAATTTATAGATTCAATGCTGTCCTCAGCAAGCTACAATTGATTTTTTTTCACAGAATTAGAAAAAACTACTTGAAATGACACCATACATCTACAACCATCTGATCTTCAACAAATCTGACAAAAACAAGCAATGGGAAAAGGATTTCCTGTTTAATAAATGGTGTTAGGAAAACTGGCTAGCCATGTGCAGAAAACCGAGACTGAACCCCTTCCTTACACCTTACACAAAAATTAACTCAAGATGATTAAAGATTCAAATGTAAGACCTTAAAAACCCCAGAAGAAAACCTAGGCCATAACATTCAGGACATAGGCACAGGCAAAGACTTCATGATTAAAACACCAAAAGAAATGGCAACAAAAGCCAAAATGGACAAATCTGATCTAATTCAACCAAAGAGCTTCTTCACAGCAAAAGAAATTATCACCAGAGATCAGAGTGAACAGCCAACCTACAGAATGGGAGAAAAGTTTTGCAATCTACCCATCTGGCAAAGGGTCAATATCCAGAATCTACAAAGAACTTAAAAAACTTTACAAGAAAAAAACAATTCCATCAAAAAGTTGGCGAAGGAGATGAGCAGGCACTTATCAAAAGAAGACATTCATGCTGCCCACAAACATGAAAAAAAAGCTCGTCACTGGTCATCAAAAAAACAGTGAGAATGTGGTTTTGAAAAATGTGGTTTTGAAATGCCAGTCAAAACCACAGTGAGATACCATCTCACGCTAGTTAGAATGGCGATCATTCAAAGTCAGGAAACAACAGACACTGGAGAGAATGTGGAGAAATAGGAAGGCTTTTACACTGTTGGTGGCAGTGTAAATTAGTTCAACGATTGTGGAAGACAGTGTGGCAATTCCTCAAGGATCTAGAACCAGAAATACCATTTGACCCAGAAATCTTATTACTGGGTATATACCCAAAGGATTATAAATTATTCTACTATAAAGACACATGCACACGTATGCATTGTAGCACTGTTCATAATAGCAAGGACTTGGAACCAACCCAAATGTCTGTCAATGATAGACTGGACAAAAAAAAAAAAAAAATGTGGCACATATACACCATGGAAGACCCTGCAGCTATAAAAAGGATGAGTTTCTGTCCTTTGCAGGGACATGGATGAAGCTGGAAATTATCATTCTCAGCAAACTAACACAGGAACACCTCCCTCCCTCCCTCCCTCCCTTCCTTCCTCCCTCCCTCCCTCCCTTCCTCACTCCCTCCCTCACTTCCTTCCCTCTTTCTTTCCTTCCTTCCTTCCTTCCTTCCTTCCTTCCTTCCTTCCTTCCTTCCTTCCTTCCTTCCTTTCTTCCTTCTCTTTCTTTCTTTAGTAATCCTCCAACTCCAGTGCCTATAGAGAAAACTCTATACAGTTAGACATATGTCCAGGTAAAGAACATTGTATCCCCTGTTGATAAAAAGGGGATCTAACCCCTTTCTATTGCAAAGCTCATTGTTCCTTCAAGACCTCCTGTGTTACAAGTGCTCTCTAATCCGTTAGATTTCATATAATTCCCTGCAAGTTCAATTCGTGTCTGGGATATAAAAGCAAAAAATTATAACAAGAACAGCTTCCATCAAAATTCATATGCACTAGATCTTATTATTTTCTCATTTTAAAATTCAATTTTATTATACATGCAACCATATAATTGTTCCTAAAATAATGGATGTGATATACAGCCTAGATTAGGACAGTTTTTCTTTCAGTTCACTTTTTGCTTAACTTTTTTCTCTACTTTCTCCCTCTGTGTTCTCCTCAATTTTATGCCCTCCTGTAGCCCATGTTGACAATCTACTGATTCCTTCCCCATTTTTTAGCATAGTCTTAGAAACATGTAGGTTATAAACACCTAATTTTTGGTGGCTGCCTTTCCTTTTATAAAGGGAAGATCCTATTGGGTTTAGTTTCCTGAATCTTGCTGATGGAAATCTATTCACCTTACTTCATGGAAGTTGACCATTCCTTCCGGACAACTAGAACATTTGTTTTTGTAAGCCTCCATCATACGCCATGGTACAGAGACTCTGCCACTTGTTCACATGCTCCTGAATTGACAGGCACCTCCTGTTTCTTTCCAGGGTTTTCCTAGAACAGTGCTGTGATAAACACGGTTTCATCTGAGGGTCTGAGCAGCATTTCCGAGTGGAGGAAAAGGCAACTCGCGGGGATGTGAAGGGCGCCTGCTATAGACACATTTTACCCAAAGATATGTTCTTTTTAACTTTTAAAGTGAACACGAATGCAAGCTACAAACACAATTTTGGGATTGAGACTCCTAAGGGCTTTCTCCTTTGTGATGATTTGCTTGGAGATCCGCCGCAGGCCCAGGCAGTGGGTGAGGGTTCTTTCAGTGCAGCCAAGACAGCCCTGGCTCAGAGTTCCCAGCCTCCTCACCACCAAAAGCACTGTTCATTCCTTCCACCTCGGCACCCAGACCAAACATGTTGCATTTGTAAATCATAACAGAGTGTTTTTCTCTTTTGTTGCCCAAAGACATCAGAAGCTGAACAGCTCACCCGGTGGTCAGGGCCCAGCTAGCCCAGCCCCGTCCATTGCCTTCCCTTCCCAGGGACCTGCCACTCACTGAGGAAGAGGCTGATGAATACCAGGAGCTCAGAGGCCCAGCAGAAGAACCAGTTCTTGGAGTGGGACTCCATGGCAGGCTGCCTGCTGGCCTGTTCAGCTGTAGCAGAAACAGAAGAGGGGACGAGGTAAGAAATGAGGACAAGCTTCAGCGCAGGAGCCCTTCACACTCTTCCCCGCTTCAAGGGCAGGGCCAGCAAGTTACTACTGCAGATACTGGGGAGACAGCCCACAAGTCTAGAGAAAGCCATTCAGCTCTTTCATTCCCTCCCAGTCCCTACAGGATCGCATTCAGTGGATGTGTAATTGCAGAAGAAATAAAGGTACAACCTCATTCTGTGATGCTCCTTGCAGTGCATTAGACAGGGCCCTTTCTCTCGGGCACAGCCAGCTTGGTATTCTCTCACACACCCTTCCCTGACACTTACCTGCTTCCCTGAGTTCACAGCTGTGCCCCAGGTGGCCCTGGTCACCAATGTCAGCCTACGGTCAGGCACAGAAGTCAACCACTTACAGCAAGGCTGGACTATGCCCTTCCTAAACTTGGTGACTTTCCTTTGTCCCTACCCCATATCATAAGTTAAATTTCTGGGCCGGGGGTGGTGGCTCATGCCTGTAATCCCAGCACTTTGGGAGGCCGAGGTGGGTGGATCACGAGGTCAAGAGATTGAGACCATCCTGGTCAACATGGTGAAACCCCATCTCTACTAAAAATACAAAAAATTAGCTGGACATGGTGGCGTGTGCCTGTAATCCCAGCTACTCAGGAGGCTGAGGCAGGAGAATTGCTTGAACCCAGGAGGTGGAGGTTGCGGTGAGCCGAGATCGCGCCATTGCACTCCAGCCGGGGTAAGAAGAGCAAAACTCCGTCTCGAAAAAAAAAAAAAAAAAAAAAAGTTAAATTTCTTTTTTGATTTTTCAAAAACTTCAGCTCTCAGTTGCCTGGGTAAGAAACTGTAAGCAAAAGAAGTCTCCTTTGGAGAGTGTTAACGCCCCACATCTCCCATGCAAATATCAGCATTTACCTGCGCAGGCGGCTATATGGTTTCTCAGCTGCTAGTGGTCATCACCTCTCTATACACTCAGGGTAAGGAAAATCCCCTACAGAAGCTGACAGGCTCTTGGCTGCATCACAACTAGGAGTTTCCCTTTCAGCCTGTGTCAGCTCTGCTCCTGGTATTTCAAAGGGGTGGGGCAGAGAACGGAACACTCCCTCTGCCACAGCCTCAGCAGCCTGAAACTCACCACTACCTGCTGAGGCTCAGGTCGTGTCCTCTTCTCTCCTGACCTGGATACCCCAGGACATTCAAGAACTCCCCCTCCCGTTACCCTGAGGGAGGAGCACCATCTTCTTAACCCCAAGGCACTGCCTCCTTCTCCCCAAGTAGTCTTCCCTGGTGGCTGCCCAAGCAGAACACCCCAAGTCTGGAGCTGCAGGCCTGACCTATGACCACCTCAAGGTAGTCAGGTTCCTGGGTATTAAACCCATTTAATGGCTGTGAAGCCCAACCCCCACAGGGATTATGTGACATATGAAAGGTCACACAGCTAATCAAGGGACAGGGTCTGGACTCCCGACCATAAGCTCATGACTCATCACTGCCATCACAGCCACTCTCCCATCCCACGATGTGGCCCCAAGCCGTCAACTCGAGTGCACTCTGCGCTCACCCAGAACTGCCCTGCAAATTTCCAGGAGAAAGAATATTCAAGATTGGCTTGATTCTCACTACCCTATGTGGTAATGAGGAAGTTACTATAAAAGGCAGCCCATGAGTTCTAGAGTTAGACACTCCTTCCGATGTGGAATCTAAATCTGGGCAGCTCGTCTCAGGGCAATGGGGATGAAGCCTCATATGCACCCGCCCCATGTCTACAGCTCTCCAGAATCAACTTCTTTGAGAAGTGCTTGAGAATGAACACTATTCGTAAGGAAGGGAAATGCAAAAGACAAGCCTTCAGAGAGGAAAGCAGCCCTGTGGCTGGAAGCCAGGAACCCTGGAGAGAGGCAGCAAATGAACATTCCACGCTGGCAAAACACCAGGGATGTTTTGAAAACCCAGACCTCTAACCTCATTTTGACATCCCAGCCAGCCTGTGCTAAGGTATAAACACGTATGTGGGCACAAACCGCAACCACAGGAATTTCAGTAAGTTAATTACACACAACTGCCTAATGCTGGTAATGTTTTGGTGAATTAAAGGAAGGCAGCAGCAGAATGTGTGTGTCACCAAGTGCCAGATAGGAGATAAGTGGAGACTTCTGGGTAGTCCGATATACTATCGTCCACGTCCCCGGCATTTGCGTTGGTGCGCTGGAAGAAGCAAACACATCTTCCATTCTTTACAAACTGGTTTTGGAAGATAAAGACCTTCTTCCCTTGGGTCCCCAGGCTTATAGCATTGCTTCTGGGGTCTAAGTTCAGTGGGGTTGGAGACAGGTTATGCGGCTTTGACTGGGTCCTAATATGGTCCATGATTGGTGGAACTGTTTCAGGGGCTCAGTTGTCTGTAGATTCTGTCTGATCCTTGGGTGGATTGGACTTCATCTAAAATCTTGTTCAATAGGGCTACACTGGGTCAAGAATTCACATTGGGTCTGCGGGTGGTGGTTCTGTTCACATGAACACGATGAGAGTAGCTCTTTCTGAGTCCCTCGACATGTAAAGAGGTTTTGAGGACTTTGACAATGGCAGCCAACATCATCTGTGGGGTCTGAAGGTCTCTGAAGGCCAGTGGGGGAGAAAGCACCCACTCCTTGAGGGAGCTGGCACCAAGTGAGGGTCCCGGCAAGAACAGGACGTTCTTACCAAATCCTAGCAGGAGTGAGGGCCTCTGCTTCATTCCTAGCGTGGTCTTTCCTCTGACTGGTATTTTGGTTGGCGAGGCACTTGGGATCACGCCACATGCTTAACCCCACCCCAGAGACTGCCACCCTGGGCAAACATATGTTCAGTTACCCCACAGTTTTCTAGTGCTTATTTGAAAAAATTGCCTTTTTCATAACCTGTTTTTTCTAGTCATTTGGACACAAATACATAATATATTCAGCTTATCAATTTGCTTAGATTTAATGACATTTCTTTCTGACAAGTGAAGAATCCACTGGGGCCTGGAGGGAAGTGTTATAAATATACTCTTTTAAAATTTTCTTCCATCGTAAACGGGTTTCAGTGGTTCATACTTTAAAATGCAGAAATAAGTTGACTAAAAGAATTCGTGTGTATCTATCCTCGGGCATTTCCTATCCTCAAGGACATTTTTTTTGAGACAGTGTCTCCCTCTGTTGCTCAGATTGGAGTGCAGTGGTGCTATCGGGGCTTACCGATGCCTCGACCTCCCTGGCTCAAGCGATCCTCCCACCTCAGCCTACCAAGTAACTAGGGCCACAGGTGTGCACCACCATGCCCAGATGATATTTAGATTTTTTTCTGGTAGAGATGAGGTCTCATTGTGTTGCCTATGCTGGTTTCAAACTCCTGGACTCAAGCCATCCTCCTGCCTCTGCCTCCCAAAGTGCTGGGAATGCAGGTGTGAGCCCTGAGCCAGTCCAATAGTTTTATTTTGAAAGAAAAATTGGAAAACGCAGAGCCACGAGGGGGCGTCCTGGACTTTGGTGTGGTGGCAAAGCCAGCACCTTCATAATGGAGGATGTCCTAGATGCGGGGTTCAGAATGAAATAGGAGCGTAGGCTGAGCATCTGTAGGGGAGCTCACTGGGCACGCACAGGGCCTCATTTACACGCAGACACTCCCAGAAGTGCCCCATTGTGATGAGCTCACAGGCTCAGGCAAGTTCAGCAGTCTGTCCAGGGTCACTCGGGTAGTAAGTGGAAAATGAGATTCAGACCCAATTCTGTACGGTTCGAAAGCCCAGGCTTTCCCAGGCCAGCCGACTAAGGCTTTGGTCCGTCGGGGAGGACTTGGTATTCGGAAGGCACTGGTCAGCATGGAAGCGAAGCCGGTGGGCGCGTGTCCTTGGGAGGAAGGTCACAGGCATCCTCCCACCAGGGAGGTGTTTGCAGCCCGGGTCCCGGAGTCTTGGGGTGTTCCTGAATGTGGGGAAACTGTCCCTCACCCTGACCATCTCAGAGTCTGTGTCCAGAAGAGCCCTTGTTATTTGCAAGATACTCTCTTATTAATGGGGAGTATCTTGGTTTACTGCTTTCTAGATCATTGTCAACATAATTTTGTCACCATAAATGTATCACCGGGAGTCTGTTACTAAATAGTATAAGAATTCAGAGTTTTTAAACCTGAAGTACTGAGGATAAGACTGTAGACTTTGAGGTTCTTCCCATGAGGGGTAAAGGGTTTGGTGGGAAATTAGGTTACATATCTGAAAAATAAAGTTCAAAAGATGTGGCCAAGGGAACTACCGAGGGGTCGGGAATCAGGAAGTTGATGGTTATCAGGCTGGGGAGAGGGGCTGGAAGAAGGTCAGGAGCAAGATAACAGCAAACACTTACTGAATGAATGTTAAATCTAATGAGATGACAATTGTCTCCATTTTACATGTCAGGAAACTGAAGCTTAGAGACGTTACATATCTTGATTAGGGTCAAACAGCTAATATTTTGCAAGGCTGGGGCCTGAACCTGGTTTTCTGGATGCCAGTGTCCAGTCACTTTCCCTCATGTCAAATGGCCTCTCAGAAACCCAACACCTCTAAGTGCTTCCCTGTTTTCCTCAAACCCAGGAACTGCTGGTCTTTTGGGCAATTCTGAGCGCAGCCACTAAGTGGCGACATTGCCCAACTATGGCTCAGCTCTGTCTCTCCTGGGAAGAACCGGGGAGGGAGGGAGGAGGAGCTGCCTTGTTGGGTGTTAGGCTGTGTGTGAGGCTTTATCTATTTAGATTCTCCCAGCAACCCTGCAGAGGAAGTATTATCCCATTTCCCAGATGAGGCCATTGAGGAACTGCTGGATGACAGAGCTTAGTGGCAGAAGCAGGAATGAATCAAAGTCCAGCTGGATTCCAAGTCCTGCCTCCAAGCACTCTGGGCTCCCAAAGGAAAAGTCATTTTATGCCCTCAAAATTTAGTCTGGTAGGGAGGTAGAAGGCGGAACTCCCATAAGCTTGGGTTTGGACAGCCTAGTGAAGAAGATGGGTGGGTGAGGAGTAACCATGCCTTTCCTTTGGTTACTGGAGGGAAGAATTAAGTTTTAAGGTGGAAGTTAAATACTGTTAAAAATTACTCCGGTGTTGGGACAACTGGATTTTGACATGCGGAAGAATGAAATAGGACCGCTGTCTCACACCATGTGCAAAAACCAACTCAAAATCAATTAAAGACTTAAATATAAGAAATGAAATTATAAAACTACTAGAAGAAAACAAAAGCAAAAAGAAATTAATAGGTTTATATGAAACTAAAAGGCATCTGCTCAGCCATGGAAACAATTAACAGAGTGAATGAAGAAACAATCTATGGAACGGGAGAAAATATTTGCAAACCATGCGTCTGATAAGGGATTACCCAAAATATATAAGGAACTCAAACAGCCCAATAATAAGAAAACAAAGAATCCGATTAAAAAGTTGGCAAAGGATCCGAATAGACATTTCTCGGAGGAAAACATATGAATGGCCAATGAATACATGAAAAAATGCTCAAAGTCCCTCATCAGCGGGGAAATGCAAATCGACACCAGTGAGATGTCACCCCACAGCTATTAGAATGACTGTTATTCAAAAGATGAAAGATAGCAAGTTTTAGTGAGGATGTGGAAAAGCAGAACCCGAGTACGCTTTTGGTGGGGATGTAAATTAGTAGAGCCATTATGGAAAACAGCACGGAGCTTCCTCAAAAAATTAAAAACAGAACTACCGTATGATCCGGCAATCCCACTTCTGGGTATATGTCCACAGGAAATGAAATTAGCACGTTGATAAGGTATCTGCACTTCCCATTTACTGCAGCACTATTCACAACAGCCAAGACAGGGAGTTAACCTGGGTGTGCGTCAGCTGATGAACGGATGTAGAAAATGTGGTCTGTAAACACTGGAATACTATTCAGCCACTAGAAAGAAGGAAGTTCTGTCATTTATCGCAACATGGATGAACTTGGAGGACATGATGTTAAGTGAAATAAGCCAGCATAAAAATAAAAATACCTCATGACCTCACTTATTTATGAAATCTAAAAAGTTGAAGTCACAGAAGTAGACAGTAGAATGGTGATTACCAGAGGCAGGGGAATGGGAGGAGATGCTGGGCAAAGGGAACACAATTTCAGTTAGATCAGAAGAATAAGCCCAAGAGATCTACTGTAAAACATGGTGATGATGGCTAATAGTAACACACTGTCTTCTTGGAAATTTACGAAAAAGTAAGTTTTAAGTGTTCTCATCATACAACAAAAGATAAGTATGTGAGGTAATGTATATGTTAATTAGTTAGATGTAGCCATCTATAATGTCCATGTATTTACCAACATGTTGTATGCAATATTTATACATGAGTGTGTCAATTAAATAAAAAATAACATTTTAAAAATAGAAAAATAAATAACTCGTATGAAACTCTTGGAGTTTCTCCTGCTTTAGAAGAGACTGCATTTTCTTCCTGATGAAATGGCTGTCTGGTGTTGAGGGGCCATGCTGTGTGAAAAATGTGTCCTTCACATTTAAAGGT